AGTGCTTAAATTTTTAAATGGATGGAAAATCACTGCCAGTTTTAAAAGCATAAGAATTATCCAGTCCTCCAACCGTATGGTGATTGTATGGAAATTTATTTTAAAAAAGCCCATTAATGCCTGCCTCTTTGTTGAAGCTTAAAACAAAAACTTTGTCAGGCACAATGTTAACAGGTTTCTGGGTTAGGGGATTCATATAATGTGATTTTGTGTGTGTTTAATGAAATGGCATTTTTAAACTCGAGACAATGTTTATGCATGCTTGTTAGGTCACCTTTTTTATACATTATTCTGTTTAGTTTTAAAATAGAATGCTATACATAATTTTAGATTATTTAGAATGTCAGAAACAGTAATTTCCTTTATCTTGTGGTTATGGGTATTGTAACATTTTAAAAAGCAGATAAAAAACTGCCACCTTAAAAAATGTTCCTGTAAAGCCTTGCTATTGTATTTTAATATTGTGTTTTTTAGAGCAATTTCTTGTATGATATAAAGTTGCATCAGGAGAATTTCAAAGTATCAACAAAATATGAAAATAGCAAGCTTCACGTTTATAGCCTCCAACATTTGTACTTGCAAATCATTGTGGTTGCCTGGAAATCTCCCATTAAAAACTACAGATGTTATTATAAATTCACCATTACCCAAAGAAAAATAAAATGAGATATCATCTATAAAGAATAAGACATCAAGTAGTAAATAATACATACTGTGCAGCACCAATGGATATTTGCACTAATGCTCCCAAGAAACAACTGTACACAGTGCTTTTTAGAAATCTTGATAATTCTGAACACCCATATACTGTACAGTACCGCACATCTTAGAAAATAATTTCTAATCTGACAGAGAGAGAGCTAACATTTCCAATCTGTATTGCCACTACAGTATATAGATATAGTGCATGTTAATATATATACCACAAATAAAACTATTACTATAGAGTATTTTTTCTATTTATTTTGAAGGATCTATTTAATGTACTCAGAAAAGACTTTTGTACATTTTTCTGTTATCTGATAATCTGTTAACGAAAACTTACTGTTCTGTTTGTTGTGAATGCATGTATGAGTGTACTGTATATTCAAAGCATAGCAAGATGACTACAGATTCTGCCTTGATTTCTGCTGTTTTATAAGAAATCAGCTAAAAATGTACTTTTTGCAAAGCAAAAATCCACATTAAAATTAATATGGATTGATTTTTCATATGAATTCATTAATACTAAAATAAATTTATATCTTTACTGTTTGTATTACTTTGCAATATATAATTGTAATTTGTTTCCCAGAGAGTACTAAACCAAACGCTTGGGTTATATCTCCTAATCAAGTGCTGTGGACAAATACAGCAAGTGTGAGTCAGTGTGTTTTGAATTCCACAATTCTGTGTAAATATGAAATACTTCTTTATCTTGTTCCCATTCTGTAGACCAATTGATATCTATTCCTTTTGATTCTGATACTACAACCCCTTTTTTCTCTACCAAGGACCTCAGCCTTATTCTTGACCCTTCTCTCTTCTTTTCTTATCACATTTCCACCCTGGCCCTCTCCTTCTGTTTCTTCCTGAGAAGTGCCTTCGATATTCACCCCTTCATCACCTACTTGTCTACACAACTTCTAGTTCAGTCTCCAGCCTGGAGTACTGCAACTACTGTATCTTGTGGCAGACTTTAGTCAGTACTATTCACACTGTCCAACTCATTCAGAACTCTGCTGCTCACCTGGTCTCATTGCTCTCATGCCTGGCTTTTACCCCAGTCCATCTATTGGTTCTCTACAGCTGCGTGTATCATTACCACTCTAACCTAGGCTTATCCTGCCATGACAGGCATATCCGACTCAACAAGTAAATTAGCAGTTAGCATTATACTTTTCATTGCCATAAATAATGCATTTTTAATTGTTCTTAGGTTCCTAAATGTTTGCCATGATGTTTTTTTCTCTTTTGGTTTGTGCCTGTCAATCAAGCGAAGATCATAATGATTCTTATCAGTTTCTCAGTATACAAAAGTGTTCAAAAAGTTCAAAAACACTTTTTCTGTTGCCTAACACCATAAATAGCCTGTCTAGCACTGCCTATAGTCAATGCAAGAGTAATAATAGTGTATATGTTATTCTTTTCCTTATTTTTTAAATTGATTTTACATTTTTGGAAGGTGCAGAAAACAATTCCAGGTCTTCACAAAAATGAATGCAGATTTTTTTATATTTGTTCAGTCACCCTCAAATTTTATCTAAGGTAGTAGACCTTTTTTAACTGCACAATAGACATTATCTTAATTTTGTTCTGTGCTGCACAGGCATTGTGTTTCTGCCTGACTTACTGTTCTGTTTGTTTTGGCATTTATTTACTTTTGACTGCTGAAAATGAAAGATTTTTTTGTATTTTATGCATGCATATATGGATATTTTGTAAGCTATACTGGATAAGACTGCCTGCTAGATTAATAATAAACAAGATACAGATTGCATAAACCCAGACATCATCATTTTTCTGCATTGAAGGAGTTGTACTTAGATTGAAGATAGTTTATTTAGTCAATACGTGTTTGTGAAGGACTATCTGTGGCAAACCAAGCATGCACAAAATGAAGCTAGGGCATTTCCTGTTTTTTCACTTTACTACATTTAATTTTGACATCTTAAAAAGGTACTGTGTGATTAACAGCCTTCCATTAAGAACCTCTTTTTGTAAATGACAGATAGGCTTTTAGAAGATAAAAGCACTGAACTGCTGAATAATAAGTAGGTGTCAGTAATAGTCTCACCTATAGGCTGCTAGAGTGGCATAGTGCCAATAGACTATCAGGAAGCAATCAAAACCTTTCATCTAGAGTAGTTAACAACAACTAAAGACTACACAACTTGTTTTTTTTTATTTTCTGTCCTTTTTACTTCATGAAACCCAACTACAATAATTGTGAACAGGAAAATAAGAAACATTTATTCATTGGGGATTTAAAACTCAATATCCTTATGATTATCTTGTTTAATCATTCAGTGCTCAATGGCTCGTCTCTATGGAGGTGCTTCATATTCATGAAGTATAAGCCTAGATATTACTGCCATTTTCACTGAAATTCTGCCATAAATTCCTTGTTCAATTTTCTCATACACTGAAGACAACTTCTAATGGCTTTAATCTGTTGTCAATAAGTTAGAAAGACTTGTAACTACTAGACGCATCTCAGCCATCTCTACATATTGTTCATCATATTTCTAGTTATTTTACATTTAATATAATTTGGATAAATATTAATAGATTTTTTGCAAAAATAAATGGTTAAATAGTTTGTATTATTGCAGCATATGAAAAATAATGTTTTCATTATTTAATTTAAATGCAAATAAAAATAACAAATTACTAAACTTAATTAAACTGCTGAAACAGTTTCTCATCTAACTCTGCACTCCAGTTTTTGGAAAACATCTCCCTTTTAATTACTGATTTCTGATGTAATTACTGAACTTAGTTTTTTAAGTTCAAACATGCCTGCCAAAACCTTTTAAACTGGTTTTTAAAATCTTAAGAACAGTTATGAATTTATTTTTTATGGGGACAATGTTTATACTTACCTTACATCATATACTTTGAAATTAATATCTACAAAAAATATATTATTTATACGTTTACAAGTCTGTGGTTAAATCGGAAACAATAAAAAATATTCTTTGTCTTTTAATTCTGATGTTGCATTTAATGGATGCATATCAAGAAAATAACTAATTTGATTACATTTTTTAATCACTCTGGAATATCCTTTCTCATTCCTTAATGATGGGTTAGCTAAATTGTATCATTTGTAATATAACCACATATCTTTTCAAAATTGCACACAAACAGGAAAGATGAATGAGGCATTAGATTATCTTAAAAAAACCAAAGTATAAGACAATTTACAAAGAAACAAATAAGTCTGTTATATATAAAAGTTCTATTCAATCACTGATGCTCAGAATGAGCTCTCAGCAGGGATCTAGATGTATCATTTCTTGGGAATAATGAGGGGCTTGAAGGGAAGGGTTCCTACTGAGGAGATGAGAAATGAAAGTTGAAATGTCCCACGACAGCACATGGATCTGACCTCAGCACCCCCCTGGTCTCTATTGCCCTTCTTCCTACCAGCAGATATCACTGAAAAGCAGTAATGTTCTGATGGGAAGATGGGGGTCATGAAAAGGATAATAGAAAATTGGAGTCTGGTGTATTTCCCTCTCTTTACTATGGTTATTCTGCTGACAAATTATTTGACTTCAGTTTGTTTATTTTTTATACCATCAATAATCTATTATGTACTGAAGGTTAGCTTCAACCACCAACATATATACTGTACTTACAGTATATGACATTTGTCTGGATTTCACCATTTTATTGTATAGATTAAAAAAAAGAAGTGGGTTTGCCCATCTCTAGTTGTTGTTAATTTACTTAAAATGTACTCATTTTGGGCTTAAATAACCCTGGAATTTTTTGTTCTTACAGCGCTTTGTGAACTGAAGGCTAATGTGAACTGAATAAGATCATTGTTCTACAAATATTTAACAGAAAATTATAGGGAGTGAGATATTTCAATTATTTTTGCCTGCAGGATGACTGTCTAATGCAGAATATTTAAATGTACTTAAAAGAAGCATTAACAGAGAGATACCTAATCAATATTCTAAGAGATTTGCAGCTGTGTAGAAAAGCAAATGCATTAATTGAAGACCAGAGTTAAAATATAAAGCTGACGCATAAAAAGAGTAACTTGAAGAGAATATAAAAGAAAATAAGAATAAAGCTAGATTTCTAGTGAATCTAAAAAAAAACAATTGTGAAGAAACTGCTTTGTATATGATCAGTGTTTTCCATTGCAAGCCTGTACATGACAATTTATTATAAAATAAAACATTATATTTATATATTATTTATTTTCTCATCCATTATCGAACATAACCAGCTTTCTGATTACAGGTGGCTGGATTAAGCATTTACAGTATACAGTACTTTACCTGCTTCTTAAACTGGCCATAACCGAGTTCCCTTCCATGGTCTTCTGGGCGATATTATATAGAATACTTGTATTGCCTTTCATAATAGTTGGAATGGCAGAAGACCAAAATTTTGCATAACCTAGAAAACAGTAAAAAGAGTTTGTTTTTAATTGGCTTTATCTCATTACCGAAGGGTATACAGAAGTACAAGTACTGTACTGCTACTTCTTACAGAAATTCTAGCTGCACCAATCTGTACAGTAACAGTTACTACTACTGTACGTAAATGTCTTGTCTGTTTGTGCTTACTGAGCTCTTAATCAGTGAAGAGGGACCTGAACTTGAATCTCCTACAGCTAGGCCTCAGCTAAACAGTGTTTTGTGGTCATCTTTCCTCTTGAAAAATTAATATAATGTAAAGAGTTTTGTCATTTTACTTTTGTAATTGAGGGTTCCGTAATTTAGCTTTCTCTGGAGCATCATAATAAAACAGACAGCACAGTGGTGCAGTAGTTAGCATTGCTGTCTTCCAGTGCTGAAACCCTGGGATCAATTCTGGATCTGGGAAGTGCTATCTGCATGGAATTTGTATGTTATCCCAGTATTCACATGGGTTTCTACCAGATGTTCTGGTGTCCTTCCACAGTCCACAGGCTTCTGGGAAAATTGAACCTAGGCGTTAGTTTGTGCATGTCTTTGTTTGAGTGTCTACACTGCAACAGACTGACAACCATCCAGGGTGTATCCTAGGTTGTGGCCATTACTTGCTGGGATAGGTTCCAGCTCCACACCACAACCCATGACAATGGAAAACAGTTAGAAAACTGATGGATGGACCATGATACAACACAACTGTATGCACTGTGTCACAATGTCTATATAAATACATAAGCTCTAAGACACAGACGCAAACAAAATGTTGGCTATGAGAAATATGCTCTACAATCACATTGACAGAACATCTCTGTAAAAGTTAGTACAAAGCACTACAGATCAAATAATTCTTCAGACTGCTCTCTGTTGTAGGTTCTCATCAGAATTTAAAAAAATGAGCAGCTATAATCAGTTCAATGGGATGCATCCACTTCTAATATAACAATCAGAGACTGCTATGGTGGTCTCAGGACCACCATAGCAGTCTCTGATCATTCATTTGTGATCATAAGCGTGTGGGCAGTTGGTCTACAATAAATTCCATCTTCAAGGAATTGACCACATACAGTATACTTGTATGTATGGTCGTTGATGTCCTGTATATTCAGTTTTGGTAAATACAGTACATGAGTTGTGGACATCCATTTAATAACAACCATTGTAATATTGTCAGTTCTGATTCATTTTCTAAAACAGAATTGACTGGAAGAGGCTGCACATTGTGTTCATTTAACCTTGAACTGCCAAGCACACACTCTGCATAGCATCTGACCTTCTATTCATTCCATTGCCAGGATGCATACAGTATATGAATACTGTACTGTATACCTTTCCTTTGTGCTTTTACAAATGCTCTTCTATAGGAATCTAAACTTTGCACTGATTGTAGGGTTAAGGTTAGACATCACATTCCAAATGTTTTTATACATTATTGCTTCGTATCCATCCATCCATTCATTTCTAACCATTTTATCAATTCAGAGTCACAGGGAAGTCGGAGCCTGTCCTGGCAAGCAAACAGGAGTAAGGCGGGATACAGCCTGGATGAGACACCAGTCCGTGATTTCATTGTCATCAATACTCTGGTTTCTTTGAAGAAGAAAAGTCAAACATTCTAGATGGGTCAAATGGACTTGCTTTGTAGTCTTTTATATGTTCTTATGTTTTATTACAATTACATATTTTATTTGTTTCAGTTCTACTTACATTTAATTGGGAATTACATCTTTGCATACATGGTAACTCACTTTGGATAAGAATTAGTAAATAAATAATAACAGCAACAAAAATAAGACAAAATTATTGTATCTTTATGGGTTTATGTCTAATTTTGACACAAGTCATGTTGTAACATAAGTAAATTGAGATTTTAAAATCAATCTAGTTACTAAATTAATTTCCAATTGGTTGTAATCCACTACCTAATTAAAAATGGATTACTCATCGGCTCACTTAAGAGGTACTGTGAATATTTGCTTGAAGACCAATAAATCAATCTTCACAAATATTTATTGACTCTCACACATTATTATAATAAATGAAAAATATATTTACCTAATAAGTCCTCTTTGAGCTGTTTACTGTAAAATCCTTCAGAAATCCCTTGACTTTGGAAGACATCTATATGTATTTCACATCCCCATTCAATTAGAAGCTGGTAAGTAGGAAAGAAGATACATCAGCTAAGAAAACACGTAAAAAGAAAAGCACTTTGGATTTGCACAGTTAGATTCACAGAACTATAGGCTTTATTAATCAACGGCACAGACCAAGTCTTTAAGAAGACCTGTAGCCCGTTACATGATCAGAAGTGTGAAATGAATATGGAGGCACGTTTAGGGATGAAAATAGGTTATGAACAAAAAATAAATTCTTGAGTTTGACATAATACCACTCTAAAATCTTTAACAAGTGACTTCATATAAGTATTGATTACTAGTCACGAACTATTAGCAAAGGACCAAGGCGGGAATGAAGTTAATTTAGCCCAGGGCAGGTGTTTGCCAGCTTCCTGCTCACGTGACTTATTCTTAAAACCTACGGTAGGTGAGCCTAGCAAATGTCCTGCATAAAAGAACGTGCTGAGTAGGAGGTTGATGACATAATGGAAGACCACTTTAGACATGGAGAATCATAATGTTGTGGTATTGTTTCTTGTTTCGTTGGGACTGCATTTCTGAATATATCCTTTTTAATTAACACTTAGGTCTGCCTGGACATTTTTTATTACAACAGAGATTGTCCCAGGGGTGCATTCTGTCTTCATCAACATTGCTGAATTCCATCTTCTTTCTCTAAATCTTGCTGGAATGTTGTTTTACCATTATGATGGAAACATGCTTAATAAAATAAGCTGGGTCATCAAGCACAGCTTTGCTGTGTCTCCAAACAAGATTCAGTTGTGATGATGTACAGTATGTTGTAGTTTCCAATGTGGCCTGGTTATTTCCAAATTGTGGAACCCTGATAAAGAGGTGTCCAATTTCATGAAAGTACTTTGTGGAAGGGAACAACTGGGTGAATGCCTATTGGCTTTACTGCCATTACTTAGGAATTCACTGAACTGTTTGCTTTCATTCTCCATCCCTGTTTTTTTAAACTTTGTGAAATTCTAAGTTCAAAACAAAAACAAAGTTTGTTTGTTTTGGACAAGAGCAAAGATTAGTGAGGATTTTTGTTTGTTAAACATAGCTTATTGCCTGTTGATAAAGTTCTAAACTAACAAATAATTGACAAAAATCTTACCACCTTACGAATCTCAGATATATATATTCTTTATACCGCACCTAAAAAAGCAAGTAGTGATAACCATCTAAAGCAGAAAGCCACCATGTGTAAGGGGTGGTCAGAGTCACGTGGAGCTTGTTGCTCCTATTCATTTATATATCCCTATTGTAAATAATACTGTATGTACACAATGCAAAGCAGTAGGCCTCTTAGTAGAACTGTAAGCTTTAAGTGTTATGCTGCAGCCATGGTAAAATTGAGCTGCAGAGTGATAACTGGCCGAAGTCCTAGGCAGGACTAGGGCAGGCTCTTGAGGTTTACCGGAGTAGCTCTGAAAGAGAATGGCTGTGTGTAGTGATGGAGAGAAATGAAAGTGTCTGAAGGAACAGTGTCTGAAGATATTGAGAAGAAAACAGGCTTCTATGTCTTGGCTAGAGAAAGCAAATAATCGGTAGTTAGCTGTGGGAGCACTGATCAGAGGAGAAAGCTCTTAAATAGGCAGCTTAATGAGCTGATTGAGAACTTGATTGACTGCCTGACCAAAATATTGTCAGACGAATTGAGAGGGTTTGAAGAAGGTTGTGAACTTGTGAGAATGTTCGTGCTACTTCTGGCAACAGCAGGACACAACTCATGTTGTGGGCATGAGATATAAAAAATAATAATGATGATGATGATTCCTTACACTTATATAGCGCTTTTCTGGAAACTCCACTCAAAGCGATTTACAGGTAATGGGGATTCCCCTCCACCACCACCAATGTGCAGCATCTGCCTGGATGATGTGACGGCAGTCATAGTGCGCCAGAATGCTCACCACACATCAGCTATCAGTTGAGAGGAGGATTATTAGGAGGCTGTGATTGGTAAAGGCCAATGGGAAATTTAGCCAGTATGCTGGGGTAACACTCCTAATTTTCTCGAGAAGAACATTTCTATAGAGAAGCAATGAAACTTCTAGAATTGGAAATAAAAAAATAAGTATCTGAAGAAATAAATACTCTGTCAGATAGACAATTGACAGCACTTCATGTACTATATGGCTGTATTTTAGTTTCATTTAGAAGCATTACATAAAAGTTGTGATCTGTATTTTTAAAACGAAGGATTTATCTTTTAAGACAGATATGGTGTACATCAGCTTTGAGTGAACAAGATTTATTGTATTGTACAACATTATTCTTCATAAACATGTTAATCCACCTGCCTCAAAACTTTTCTTGTTTTCTGAAACTTTCTGTTGCCATTAACAATAGTATGGATTAAGATGTTGGTACCTCATTCGCTAAAGGATGGCAAAATGTTCTGCACATGATCAGTTAGACATGGTCCAGATTTCTCCCACAGTCCAAAGTCATACTGGTAGAATAACTGGCTTCTGGGAACATTGACCTTAATGTGAGTGCGTTAATGTGTGTGTGCCCTGTGTTGGACAGCGTTTCATCCAGGATGCATCCTGTCTTCTACCCCCTGCTTGCCGGGATAGGCTCTGGCTCACCCGTGAACCTGTATTGGATAAAGCGGTAGGAAAATGGATAGATCCTATTTACTGCCCAATTCCCAATTCTCTAGTGTACTTTTGTCTGCAAACCCTGTACTGCTTCCTGTACAGCAACAATATATAAGTCATACATTAAAATGCTTAATGTGCATATCCCTAGCTTAGTGAATACTGGAGGAGATGCTTCATTTTTGCACAGACTGTGGCTTAACCATTCAATGCAGTCATGATGGCAATTACTGTCAACCACAAATCTGTTCTTTTCAGAATCTTACACCGCAAGAACAATGAACATTAAAAAGTAATGTGGGCCAATATCTCACCATGCACACAGAGCGGTGTTGGCCAGCAGCAGCAAGGAAGAATGGTGTACATCCACTTATATTCTTCAGATCTGCAGATGCACCACTCTCCAACAGAAGAAGAATGGTTTCCTTTTCAATATGAAGAAGGGACATAAAAACAGAAGAAAGGTTACAAACAATAGTAAGCCAAATCTTTCCATCTAGCGTGGTAGGGTCCAGCAGCTACTTTTTTATAAGATTGTCAATGTTGGACATGCCTTTAAGCCCCGACATAGATCTGATTACTCTTTTCATGTTGTCATAATCTGCTTTCTTGAGATTATAATCCTATGAATTGGACTCTACCTCTACATTGTTTATGGAAAGTGGATGGTTGAGTAGCAAACCTGCCCAAGACCATGACATCAGAAAAAAATAACTCAACAATCAATCTGTAAGAAAAAACTCCTTCCAAAACATTAATGAATGATTAATCAATGTTCATATATAATGTCACACATTTGGATGTGATGAGCTACAGCAGATATGATGGTATCAAATTCAATAGGCTATTATGCTTTTCATAGAATGATCAAACTTTAATATCAAACATCTCTGTGATCTTATTGATCACAGACCCCAAATTCTAGGAAAGTTTAAATAGCCTTTGAAAACATGAAAAGCCTTCCCCCAAGGTTATATATGAGCTTTTACTGTAAGTCATATAGGAGCTGCCTATTTGTGTCTTACACAAAGGCCCTCTAATAGCTTTTCTGAAATGTGTTGAAATGGTAATTGTTTAAACCATATAGTTCTGAAAAATATGGTGTAAAAGTTTCCTTATGAAATGAGAATGGTTATCACTAGCACCAATCTGGTAAGTGGGTGATAAGACCCTAACTGGTCATAGTTTAACCTTTGCAGTCACACCAGGTATTAATTCCAGTTTTGTTTTTTTCGAGTCTGGGTTGGAAATACAAAATATAGTTTAATACAAATCACTGTTTATAGTATACAACTCTTTCAAACTCAGTTTTTTTCCCACAGTCCAAAGACATACAGGTTAACTGGTGTCAGTGATTCCCCAGATGAGCATGTACTGTAAATACATGGATGTGTTGTCCTCTGTGATTTGAGTTTTGTTCACTATATACTACAATTTTGTGCCCTGTACATGCTGTTAGGCTAAAGAAAAAGTGGTTAAAAAAGATAGATGGATGGGTGAATGATATTGATTAATTTTATATACTGCATGTCAAAGTTATTTTATCATGTTATTTGCATCAAAGTGTGATATACAGTAAAAACATTCCTCGTTTTAGAGGTTTAAGGAAATTCTATTGTGTGCTTAACATTTGTTCTCATTTGTCCTTGATTTAACAGAGGTGAGCAATTAGTACTTATATGCTGCTTTTTCATCTCAAGTGTCCTACTGCAACATCTCTTTATTTTGTAAATTTATTTTGTAAAGTTTAGTTTTATTTTGTAAAGTTTAGTTTGTAAAGTGGGAGTATGGTTCATTCTCAATCATAAAGTGGCAGAACTGTCCGAATCTGAACTAACTAGGAAACAAGACATGTAAAAATCTGAGAATTGGCATAAAGCTGATGGTTCTTCTAAATGTGATGCTGTCAAGTCAGGGGAGAGAGGCAACCCAGACTAAAGGGTGGACTACCATACAGCCTTAAAATACAGCGTACAACTAAAATATGGAGGCAGTGAAAGTAGATTTTTAGTATGGACTCTAAAAACAATAATAATCCATCCATTTGTATCTAATTTAGGGTTGCCGGGGAGCAGGAACCTATTCCAGCAAACTACAGGAGCAAGTATACACCCTGAACATGGTGCCATTACATTGTATGGCACACATAGACACTATCATTCACACACTCCCACAAGTACTAAATTTTCCTGAAGTCAATTAACCTACCAGTATGTACTTGGATAATGGGAGGAAACCAGAGCACCAGGAGCAAACCCACATGAACACCAGGAGAACCTACTGTACAACCTCTATGCAAATAGTATCCCATGAATTGATCCCAGAGTCCCAGTGCTGTGCAATTCTAATAATAACAATTATTATTAGTAGTAGTAGCAGTATTATTGTACAAGTAGCAGTAGCAGTAGCATATACCAGTAATTATTAATTCACCAAACATTTTATTTTAAATAAAGTAAATTCTTATAATCTTTATTCCGAAGCCAGAAAAGTATTGAGTCAACTGACATGTGTCATGTGTTTACTACTGGATTGTTAGGAACATATATAATATGTGTGAACATTTTATCAGTCTGTCTTGCTTTAGCTTCAATGTGTTTGTTATCTGTAGTTGAAAGTCAAAATGATACCCCAAAAACTTTCTGTTAGATAATTTTGAAGAAGAAACCTTGAAGCTCAGTCCCAGACAAAACCAAAATACAAAATTTGAGCATACTAAAACTAATGTTTTTACTGAAGAAGACAAAAACCGCAAGTACAATTGTTAATCTGCCGGGACTGGGTCAAGAAAATACATCTGATTTAATTACATCAAACCTTAAAAATACTTAGTAGTCAGTAGAACCAGCAACAGCTTCCAGGGTATAGTGTATAACAACATGTCATATAAGCAACTTAAAAAGTCAAAGGTCATTATTCATCATCTTGCAATCCATCAATTAGGGATCTCGTGAGTGAGTAAGACGGGTCAATGTCCATTGAATATTAACTTAGTTTTTGAGTACTGATTCTCAATTTACTGTTACAATTCCTGGTTGTTACAGCAAATTAAAACACCCATCTCCTACACTTAACAGATTCTGTTAAGTTACAGTCAGGGTCAAACTGAAGACAAGAGCAATCCATAGAGGCTATCTAGCTTTTTACAAGGACCTGAGATAACCTGAAGGAAAGGAAGGATCTGAGAAGCCAGTAAATGGAGAGGTGGCTGAAGGGAACAACCTTTCAGAACTCAAACAATACTAGCATCCAAATAAAGGCTGGCAGCTAAGAACTTGAATTTCATTAGCATTAAGACAGGAAAGGTTCAGTGAACAAGGGACGTTATTTTGTATTAGCACATCTGCTCAGTATATAAGATGACAAGTTAGCAAACCACATGACATTTTCTCCATAAAGGCAAAACAAATTCAGAATGTCTCTATTTAGGCAGTAAAGAATTTTATACTGAATGTTGTTATTTAATGTAATCAATAATTTAATTAACAAAAGAAATTAGTGAAGACAATTTCTTTGCTTCCTGAAACAATTCTGATGTATCAAATGCTACCCAGTCATGTACAGTATACTGTAGAAGTACTGTACATGACAAGGTGAATGAGGTGTAAGTATACGCCATTAACCTCCCCAAATTTGAGACATTAATTGTTAACATGTCACAGGGAAGACAACCACGTACAGTGCCAGAGATTCAACAATGATTTGGAGGAGAGGCACATCCCTCACCAAGAAGGAGGTACAGTACCATATCTGCACAGAAGGTGATAGGGATCATTATGTTTGCACAGAGCCCTGGCCAACTATTCCCACCCTACCATCAATAAGGCCTCAGCCTGTTGTGTGTTACCACGTTGGGAATCCTGGTTACAGCTGGCTAGAGACATGACCTACGCTTGAGACTGAGATCACGGGGCTCAACTTGTTTTTGGGCAAGCGCCTTTTCCAGTTGAGCCCCTTGGGAGGCCCCAACTGGGAGCCCCCTACAAATAAAGTGTTGGGGGGGGGGGGTGCTGATATGATGGAGCTACATGATGCATCTGGTACACAATGCAAAACTGAATCAACAAGCACTTGTTGAGTTGTTTTGAGATACTGAAAATCCATTAGCCTGGGATTGGAATTCCTTTAAAGTTATAGAAACTCTGCACACCTTTGAGGACCGCAAACACCATATTTCTATGAAATATTTGTGTACACCTATGTGATTCTGAATATTCTGCAAATCAAAACCAGGAACATTGGATTTTGCATGAATGAAATGAAAAAGACTGTTAATAACAGTATATTGTCAAATAAGAAGTTATGTGAGTTGAGGATGCCACTGTGTAACGGAGCAGCTTTTTCTTTTTGCACAGCAGGTGTGTAGCTTAGAGACCAGTCAGAGAGAGAAAAAAGTGCAGGCATTCACACAAGGCAGAAAGAGAGTTAGATCTGTTGCAGCTGTGTTCTCTCATTTTCTCCAAATATACAAAACAAACATAGGTCCAATCATCTAATTGTCTAGTTGTGGAAGACTAGTTTTAGGGTTACTGTTAGAGTAGGGGAAAAAATACATTTCCCATAGGTCCTAAGTGTGATCCAGGTAGCTCTCCCTTTGGTTAAACAGTAAAGCAACCTCTTTCCTGTATGGGTTAGGTTATGCCAGTACCTATGTTGATGATCTTCTACCACTGCACCACTGAGATAGATATAAGCTCAAGGAAGTACAGTCCAAACATGCAAGTTATGAAGAGCATGACATACTAGATATAACTGTGATATTAACATGTAGCAAAATACCTACACCCTCAGCTATTTAGTTGTATTGATACTGTACATCATGGCATTAATGTGTTGAATTTGTATGTTATTACTGTAGTACACAAATCCTATGAATTAGTCAATTCAGCACTTCTAACACTGTGCTGTTAGCATTCTGTGGCCTGTGATCTTCTACCACTGCACCACTGAGAGCGTCCTTACAAATGGGATCACCGAGTGGTACGGCAAAACACATTTTTTTGAGAGAGAGAAAGGCACTGCAGAGAGTGGTGAATGTGGCCCAGAAGATCATTGGTTAAAGTCTCACAGAGATTAAACAGCTCTTAAACATGAGGACCGCTGCCGTGGTAGATTTCTGGCCATCACAGAGGACAGTCACCACCCCAGGCATGAGCTCTTCACCCCACTGCCCTCAGGCAAGGGGTGTACGGACACTTACAGTACCACCAGATTCTTCAATAGCTTCTACCCACAAGCAGTGCGATTGGCGAACACATTTGGCCATGCCCCTCGGACACACCAACACCTTCTACCTCATTGTAATTTTATTTTTTGCAGTCATTGTTTACATGCCTACATTGTTTACATTCAAACTGTTTACTTGTACACTGTCTAGTATTTGTTTGTATATTGTCTTGGTGCACTGTCTGCACTTTGTGTTTGACACTTTTTTTTTAACAATCGAGAGACTTCCTGTAAGTAAGAACTCCATTGCACCAGTACATGTACCGGTTTCATATGGCAAGAAAGTTCAAGTTCAAGGTTAAAAGGAGGAAGCACAGCACTGCTCTCCTCTCATTTCAGGTTAGGTTTACAGGGGATTCCGGTGAGGCACAAACAGGTATGGACCAAGTTAAGGTAGGAAGATTTACATCAGGGTTGATTCAGCCTCAGGTCCGGTTTCAAAACTCCTCGCTGTTTATAGTAGCATGTTTGGTTAGCTTATAGTGAGCAAGGACAATATAACGGGCACTTTAAATGTACTGGTCCTCCAAAGTCACACTACCAGTTTAGTGTACACCCTGGCACACACTCCCATTCTAAAAAATAAAATCAAACAAAACTGCATTGTCAATCCAAAAAATAAATATATGTATAATATATATGATAACATATATTTTAAATTGTAAGACCCAATAATACAAACAAAATGTTAACTGCAGTGTACAATTCTGTAACATATGCCTTATTGTTACATCTGCCAATGTATACATTTAAAGACCATTTTCAGCTTTAAAAAGAATAATGACCTACCCAAAGAACCTGTCTCTAATATGTCAGTTACTTCACAAACTGAACATCCAAGGGATGTTTTATGACAGTTATAGAATAATACGTACAGAAGGATTGATGAATAGATCTAGTTTACATATTGTATGATATAATGTTATTTTTCTTTTTTATTTTGCTTGCTTTTAGCTTGTGTGAGTTATGTTAATATTTTAGGTTTTCCAGCATAAAATAATCACCACACACCACAGCCCTCACAGCCCTCGGTCTCCTTGGAAACCAGGTGCATGTGCATGAGGAGTCACCTCCACGGGCTGTTCAGATCTGTTGGGGCCAATTGTCCCAACCACCCGATGGGTGCTAATCCATTCAAGCTCAGGATATATAAAGCCAAACTGCCACTGAACTGGTGCTGTGTCATTGAGGTACCTCCAGACCTGGATAATACTCTGAGCTTTACTAAACAAAGTCTCAAAAGGACCGTCAGCTTGAATCCTTCCCGAGAATTTGTCTGTCTGTCTTGAACTCACTCTGCCTGCCTGCACTCTGCCAGCCAAGCACTGGTCCAGTGGCCAGGATCCAAAGCCATCCTGCCTAGATGAGCCTTGAGACAGTAACTACTATCATGGATCAATCCCATCTGCTACTGCTCTCTGTCCTGCCTCAGCAATCTCCGTCAGTCTCGGCTTTCCATCCTGCTTCAGCCATGTCTGTCAGCTCTCGTCTGTCGCCGGGCCTTCACTGGGCTCTGGCTAATGGCTTCTTTAGCCAGTCAGCAAGACACAGTTTTCTCCATTGTTGCCTTCAGTGTTTCAAACATTTTTTTCCCCATTTAAAAATAAGAGACATCGCCATCAAAACATTCTATCTGCCACGCTGAAGCAGGAATTACGTTGTCCTTGCCTAAAAAAATAATTTCTCTCTGCAAAGGTTATTAGAGCCCTTTCTATAAAATACACATTGACTTCTCACACACTGTGAGATACGTATATTAGTAGTATAATCAGATGATTAGCAAATAGGCAGAATTTAAATTTGTAGAATGCTGTTCTCTGCATGCCATAACTGTTAGGCTGCTCTAATTCCATCTTAACGATGTTTTACTAAAGAGTCGCTGATGCCACAGAATGCTAACAGCACAGTGTTAGAAGTGCTGAATTGACTAATTCATAGGATTTGTGTACTACAGTAATAACATACAAATTCAACACATTAGTGCCATGATGTACAGTATCAATACAACTAAATAGCTGAGGGTGTAGGTATTTTGCTACATGTTACTATCACAGTTATATCTAGTATGTCATGCTCTTCATAACTTGCATGTTTGGACTGTACTTCCTTGAGCTTATATCTATCCTCTACTTAAAGAGAACTATTCAATATTAAGTGAGTAGCATTTTCCAGGCCAAAGTTCTACAGTTCATGGACAATTTTGTATGACTACAGATTCTGCAATGGGCATGATGCATTAGAATGTCTGTCTGCATTGAAAGGTGTAGATTTTACAATAACAGTATGACACTATGGAAATAGCTTGGAGCATAACATTTTCATACATTTGACAATATTTTCTGTGCATCGAAGACTGGTATTTGTAGATCTATATTTTTGGAACTTTTTTGTAGTTTCCATCTTTAACATACAGTATATATACTACAGTTCTAGTTATAAACTCTACTGAATTTTGTTAAATATAGAAATAGCTGAAAACGTATCAAATCTGATTGTTCATTATTGTTCGGCAGCTAGTGATTGTTTTTAGCTTTATCCCACAAGCAAACCCCAATAAAGAAGGAATCACAAAGTTGGGAACATTTTGTTCAACTTACAAAATGCCCATTCTTGCTTGCCAAATGAAGAGCTGCATTTCCATTGGAAGGGTCTTGGGAGTTAATGACTTCAGGATAAGTTTTCCTAAGGAACAGGATCACATTTCTCACTGCATCGTAGTCTTTGGATTTCAGAAATTTGAACAGGACCAGTCGCCAATGGTTTGCACCTCTAGGAAACACTTGGTAGAGAAGGCTGCAATCAAAAATGTCTTATTACTCAACCTGATTAGGGGTGGTCATCTCACTAAAATAAGTAACATGACAATAAACTGTAGGAGAGGAGAAAATATAACAAAGATGAAAAAAAATATTTAAAGCACAATACAAAGTTAATCTTATTTGAAAATCTATAAAGGGGGAAAAGTGCACAAATATGAACAGCAATGGGTGCATTTCTGTACTCCTGAGGCACTTTATACAAATGTATAAAATAACAGGTCCAATCTGATATTCCTGGATTACAGTAGCTTTTCATTAAAGCCATTTTAGCATTACAACTTTTCTCAGGGATCAAGTTTGACAAGTTTGACAGCATTTTAATAGAGGAAGTCAAATAATTATTCTACATTACAAAACCTTCATTTATGATACAGTATGTAGGTAATTGTCACGTTACGCTGTGATCAAAGGTGACATAAAGTGGCATTCTGTATCTTTATAAACACCAAGAATGAAGAATTGTAAAAGTAAATGGCTGGAATATGTGCATATTATTCTGAACACTGTCACAGACATGTACACTCCCACACTCAGACACCCACTCTCCAGCACCCACACAATTGCAAACACTGCCAGCTTGTTACCAGGGAAATTTTTAAACTTTTTTTTAAATAACGGAATTTGACTGACATGCTAAATACTTACACTGTGTTTCTTTTCAAGATTTTGTTCTTGGAATGTATTTCAAGAAATATCTGGTGAAACATGAAATACAGAATTCAGACTTGAAATGTTAAATATCATATACTAATGAATATTTATTCAATATTTATTTAATGGTACATACCTTATAGAGGTGACTGGGCTTGGAACTGGTATAAATTCCATTACTTTGACAAAGATTTATCTCCTTTCCTTAAAAAACAATGATGGATTTTTTAAAGTTATACAGTATTTATAAATGAACCAATCCATTTTCTTCTGGAAATATAAAATTTTAGTCATTACAATTATACTGCTACAAACTGTGACTGAGACAAAGAATGACAAAATAAATAAAAGAATGTCAAAACATTAAATCTCCTTGTTATAACACAAATGCTTAAAAATGAATAGGAATTTATCTTCCTGTTCTAAAAATGCATCACTAAACTAGTAGAGAATGTTTCTGTTTTCTACTATATTGTGGAATTTTATTGTGAGAACTCCACAATAAAGGAAATGAGATTTTTCCTAAAACAAATAAGACAGGGAGCTCATTTTATTACAAAGGTTCAAATGACGTTATCAGAAGTAATCTCCAAAACCAATAAGAACAAGGTCCTCTCCCACAACATGTGGAAGATGAGGGGGGTGATGCTGTTCTTTCTGTCTTTCTCTCTTTGGTTTCCCTGTCTTCCTTTTCTTTTTTCCTCACTGTCACTCTTTGGTTTCTCTCTCTTCATTCTATTCCTCCCTCTCTTCCTGTCCTCAGTGTTTTTATGGGTTTTTTTCTGTGCTGAAATTTCTAATGATATATATAAATGAAACCAATTGTCTGAATAAGGCCTTGAGTACTGCAATAATATGAGATTGGCAAACATAGATTTTATTTTCCACTCATTCCCTGACAATACTCTCCAAATGATGATATTGATGATAAAGTGTAATAAAACAATTGTGTATCCTGTTTTTAAGGTTTCCTCGTGAAATGGAACACATGTAATTACTGTATAATTCCGGTTTTCAGCAGCTATAGAAATTCCAATCCTTGAATGGAATGGTCAGTTAATCCATAGTCAATTGCTCATCAAACAAATTGTGAATCCTCTAAAATAACTTGGTATTTAAATTTATTTCACAATACCAGCAGATAGCCATATGTCTTGTGAATCAACGCTACAAGAAATAAATATTGGACTCTGGATTCTGACATTTTTGTTGTCGGGGTAATATATTCAATAGTAAACGTACTTAATATGAGTTTATTGAGTAATAAAAACACACACAAAAAGTTCCCTACCATTTTACCCAATAAAAGCATGCATCAAATCAACATTACACATTTTAGTTTTTTGTGCTGTTATTGATCCTAGCATAACTCAGATTTGTTAACAAACTGAAATACCTGAGACAGCAAAAATTGCATTTACAAAAACTTCAGAGATACTGTTAAACAAATGATTTTCCCCTTATACTGTAAGAGGACTTGTGCTTTTCACAAGCCTAGAAGATAATTAGCTTTATTCCGCAGGCCTTGTAAACGATAGTGAGAGTAATCTATGTCCAGTTTTACCATACACGCCTGGCTTCAGAATCTATGTCTCAAACAATCAAAACTCAAAAATGAAAAGGTTACCATGTCGTTGGGATCTTGAGGTATCGACAATGAATTCCCCTGTCTCCTTATTCTGAAGTATGGCTCTCCGATTCCTGGGAACAGTATCATTTTCTCGTGTCAGATGAAAGGCAGTCCCTGCAGTTAGACTCAGATTAATTGCAAGAGTCTGGCAAACATTGGCAAGAGTTGCGTTCCTAGAGTGGTGTGGAAAAAAAACAATCACTATTTTAAACAATTACAAGTTTAATGGGAAATGAACAATTCCCAAAAGAGACATGTGACTCGCCTTATCCAAATGTTTAATGAAACTAAAATATAAATTCTGAAATTTTATGAGGAAACTTGAGAGAGCCCAACATCTTAAGAAACCTCTGAAACTAGCTGTTTTGTCACAATATGATTAGGATAGGCGATTTCAGCAACGAAAGGAGTAGAAATGTGAACAATAGACTCCACCTTATAATGTATACTGGCAGAGTACACATTATAGAGTAAACAATATAACAAAAACTAGCTCCTTGGGACTAGCAATACTGTTACTGTATGTTATTAAATCAAATGAAACAAAATTACTTATTTGTCGTTTTGGTGTTTATGCGGATCATTTGCATAAATATCTGCAGAATGTACATTTCATTAAAATATTTTCCATATTCTATTTTTTGTTGCATAATTCTGCATTTTCTCTGCTTAAATTGTTTGTATGACTAATATATTTTGATATATCTCAAAGCTGATTGCGTGGAAATTTAACAGTGAACTAAATGAGATCTGAGGCCCACTGGTGAAAGATGATGTAATAAAGCCTACAACTGTTTCTTCTCTGTTCCTACAACTCTGTTCATCACTTCATATTTTCAGAAGAAATACAATGCGATGGCCAAAAAACAAACAAACAAAGGAGTAACAGTTTGAGATTTATAAAAAAAGACAAAGAAAAGGAAACAGTACAAAAGAAAATAATAAAACCTGAAAAATATTCAAAGAAATCTTCATTTCTGGAAACTATATAACATAGAGAATTGCAACAATGGACAGAATACAGAATACTTCAGAAAAAGGACATTGTAGTACCTGAAAGAGTGGAGAGACCAAAGGGAGTTCTAAGTCTATGTAGACTGACAGAAACTGAAAGAGCAGAAGCTTTTTTACATGGAACAAAGAGCACTGAAGAGATCAGCTCAAGAGAGGCAGACAAAGCCAAAGTTTTATTTTGTATAGAACTGGGAAACGTGGCAACAGTGAGTGTAGTATTATGTCCACAGAATTCCACTTGTTTAAATACAGTAAAGTGTTGTGGGCATGTGAAATGAGCTGCCAGGTCTCAGTGTGAATATTAGTCACTGGGGCACACAGGAATAGCATTCATGCATTCTTGGATTATAAAGTGTTCTTATGGCTAAATAGTGATTTATAGTTCAAATAGGCTCGAGGCACATCGAGACTTAAAGTATCATGATGTTATTTAGAGGTATAAATGCACCTGTGTTAAATTACCAGTCATTAATGGAACCTTGACTAATGCTTCTAGATTGTAATTAAATTCCATAAATTGATGCCATTTGCTACTCACTACAAAAAATTATTTCAAAAATTTAAATTTTAATTCTAATTTAAAGCGACAATGTTCTTAGAGCTTTCATCCTTACAGACAAACCAGACCCAGACATTAAAGTGACCTGATATTGCCAACCCAGATTCTAAATTACAGTAATTAGAGCTCAGGAGATTAGATGAATTAGAAGGTAAACATACTCTGCATCACAGAAGAGAAATGCCAGCTACAGTACATCATAGACCTGGAGTTATTTATAGGGGAAAGATTACACTTGTGAGATGTGCAAAGATCGTAGAATAAAACAATAAAACTGTCAGTGTCTTTAGAAATAATGGTTTGACCACCTTCATTTCACATTATAAAATTGTCAACCATAAAACCATAATTCACATTTTCATGAAAAAATGGTAAGGAAGGCTCTGTCCAAGATGAATAATGGCATACATTGAGGAATGTGAGATACAAATCCAGATCTTCGCTAAATTATGAGGACCGTGTCACAATCCTACTGCAGATTAATTTAACTAGGAAAAAAATCCTTATATCACATAAGATATTTCATTAAAAAAGGAAAAAAACACCTTATTTAATTTATATCTTATATACTTTTATGCTGTAAGCATTAATGTTTTCAAGATGTACAAAATGAGCAATGTAATAAAATATTGCTTTCTTTCTTGCTTGAAAGTAAATGCCATAAATTCACCAGGTAGCTCCCATTATATACTTGTATTTATTGTTTCCAAGGGACCTATGTACAGTAATACAATGAAGCATTTCAAGACATCCAGACATGATATGCAATCTGCACTTGTTTTTGCCAATAGCTAATTTCCGTATAGCATTTCTTGTCAGCAGCAACATTTAGCAAGAAACTACAAAAATATGAAGAGAATTTATTATTTTGGCATCTTGTTTTTGTGGTAATAATCAAATACATTCCCTGTCAAAAAAACTCCAAGTAATTATGCATAATGCACTTCTCTTTAATGGCAGCAGGCACACAACATTTTTATTAGGAACTGATCATTTATTATGTATAAAAGTACATGGTGCATACACTTCAAAACTCTGTTCAAAAGCATTTGTGATTTGTCCTCATCATCCAGATGAAATCTGATATGCACCTTTAACAACTACCATTAGCACAGGGAATCAAATTCACCTCTTTTCTTATGCACACAAAAAATGCTATCTTCAAAGTAGAGTACTTTATGAACACATTTTGAAAGTTTTTAAGTTTGAAAGTGTTTTGAATGGCTGAATACATTTTAAAATCATTCTAACAGCATGTTTAACTGTATTTGAACCATAGTTTCATACAGGGCATGATTTAATGATGGTTTACATAGTCAGTTAAACATATCCAGGGAAGAGTTCAAAGTTAAAAGATTAATTAAAAGTTCAATGCAAAGAGCAAAAGCACCAACAATGTTTACATCTTACCTTGGGACTGTCACAGTTTCAAAATGTGTTCTCATATTGTTTCGGATGCACTTCCACATCTTTTTCTGAACCTTTTCAGCATGCGCTGCCCACATCTGACATTCTTCCACATCATAAAAGTTATGGAGTCTCTCATTTTCTAATAACAATAATGCACGTATCAAGAAATAACAATTCCCATATTGAGAGCTGCTTTATAGTACACTCTGGAATTCTGAAATTCTGGATAAGTACTCACATTTGACCTCCAATATATTTTGAAAAAATGTAATTAATTTAGTAACATTTTTAGAGTATGCTTCACCAATGCAGTTTGTTTTGTCTTTTAAATTGTATATTTACAGAAGAATTTTACAACTATAGGTCATACTGATGATTTACAGATAGTGATCCCAAACAGTTTTAGCTTTCACTGTTTGATCTTGAATCTGTGCTCATATCCATCCATTTTCTAAAAGCTTAGTCTAATTCCGGGTGGTGCAAAGCAGTACATCCTGGTCCTACTTTTTGCACCCATACTGTACATCCTGGATGGGTCGACACTTTTAAATCCCGTTAAATCCCTTTCAATGTACACTGCCTTCATCTAAATTGTGGGAAAGGAGTGTTGCATTGCTTCTTTTAAATCTGTCTTTTGAAAAAAAAATCTTTAAAAGATGTATTTCATAGCAAGATTTTAGTCTTAATGGAATGTGATGAAATATCCTGGGTTTGTTATTTTCATCAGCTAAAATATGGCTTAAATGGCTCTTTATTTTACCTGTGATAATACAATGCCTGCCAAAAGTGCTGTGAAGTTTAAACAGATTTTCACAATTTAAAATTTCTGAATATAAAAATTTATCATGAATGAAATGACTTGTAAATTGAATTCCTTAGTGTTTCACTTTTAATAAAGTAAATTAACTTATATACTGTAGGTGTCTCTTGTTGGTCACATTTTTGTTGATGTTTAATTAGATCATAAAAGTACTGTGAACATTTTACCCAATTTTACCTCAGTATCTGGGGTCTGCAAATGAAAGTCAAACATTCAACGAAAAACGAAAAGCAATTTCAAATTCAAAGATAATAAAAACTGAATCAGAATCATAGAAATTGTGAAATATGGAAAATATGGGAGATAAACTAGACAGGTATAATTGTCAGCCAGCTGAGTTTGGGTCTGCCATGATAACGTCTGCATTTGATAATAGTTGTTTTAGCATTTTCCTTTATGACTGTCATATTTTTTTCTGTCACCTACAATTTCCAGAATGTTGGGGTGAAGACATCAAAATTCACAGTTCACACTGAAGATTGAGACACTGAAATTATAAAGTCTACACCAAAAGAAATTAATCCTTTAACTGCACCATGAACAGTAATGCCAGATCAGAATTCGATTGGAAGTCCAAAGATGAGCAAGAGGAACTTTGGAACAAGAGTTTATGGACAGCTGATCCCTTAATAATCCTTTACTGGTGAAGGAAAGGTTAAACTGTGGAGAAAGAAAGGAATCCAACATGTTGCAAGGAACACCACTTCATGGTGGAGGTAATGTTATGGACTGGGAATGCATGGCTACCGCAGAAACTGGTTCCTAATTTATTATTGAAAATGTAACTATAGAGGTTAACAGAAACATTTTGTTTGCTTAAGTATGTATACCATATATTTACAGTATAATTTACATGGGTATCAAATACACAAACTGTACCCAAACTATAAGTAAAATATAGACAGGAAAAAAAGTTCAGTCCCTAAAATGTTATTTTAGTCACAAGCTGACTAAACAAATTAAACACTATAAGGTATAATGAAAGAGTTCATAACTCAAGTTGTACATCAACTAAATTAATTCTGTGTCCTTCAAACCTATGGAGAGGATAGCTTGGCATCCTTTCCAAGGCACTAAACACTAACTTTAATTAGAATATATGGAATACTGTGTCACAGATAAATAATGACACGTGGCATGAGTATGAAATACCTCACAGGCAAAGCACTGACCACAGAGATGCATCAGAAAAACAATAAAATAGGTCAGGACTGTCAAGCAAAATCTGTCGCACTCCAGTGCATCAAGTGCAATGCTGCAGTTTTTCATTTCAGCATCTCAAGGCTTATCTTCTGTACTTAGCCAAGATGGTGAAACACAACTTGTAAAGCAATGTAAATGTAGAAATGTAGAAATTATCAGCTGCGTGTAATGGTAGAAAAGCTAATAAGATTTTATTAATTTGTTCATTTGGGAAGTACATCATCTTTTAGTTTCTCAGCAGTTGTAAACTGCTGTGCTTTGGGGTTTAATCTGGTGCTTAAAAGAAAAGATATTGTATAGTGTATACTGTATGTATAATACATCAATGCAGACAATGGAATCTGTAGTTTTTTGGAGCATCCAGGAAAAATAATTCACAATGAATTTAATTTAAATGTGATTGGTCCTTTAATGTAAAAAAACATATTATAAAGAAGACAATAAACCTACCTTTTTGCAATTCTAATAGCTTCAGCTGTAATTCACTTTTCTGCTGAAATTGGCCCAGCTCCAATATCTCCGGTGGAAAGGTTTGCAAATTGGAATTTATCACAGCTATCTGGGACCTTAGGTTTTTCTACAAAGAAAAAAAAGAAAACTGGATGTTTTCTCCTGCTACACAACCAGAAGACACAAGCTGCAACTATGGAGAAGTGTTTTTAAAATGGGGAACACGATGCACTTTTTTACACACAAGATCGTTTCAGCTTGTAATATTGTTGACGCAAATGTGGCAATATTGGGCTATTTCTAGGTTTAACCAGTGGAGTTCTTCTGAATAAATAGTTATACGTGTAACTGAGAAGTGGGGGTACTTCATTATGAATTAGGCTTGTGAGAGTTTGGAACAAGCTTCCCAGCCGAGTTTCTGCAGCTCATATCCAGGTTTATTTCAAGAAACAGCTTCATGTCATCCTTGAATCAATTAGCTACTCCTAACTGCCAAATGGGTTTGATGGGCCAAATGGCATCCCTCCGACCGCATTACTTCATGTTTTCATTTTCAGTGTGTTGGTGTTGGGTTTCCAGCTTATAAACAAATGTCTAAAAACGCAACGTCCAAAGTATTTTCAAAAACAAAAAAAATCCAAGCCTACTGTAGTAAACTTTTGTAAAAACTAACCAATTTAAGCTGTGTTCCTGAACTGTTGATTGATGCTTAATCATTTACCCAGAACTTAATTAACCAAGGTAAACGAAACTATTCCTTTTTTATTCCTTGATCAATGTGTCTCACACCCAACACAACTAAGTAAACACCATACAGTAGTACGATTCTTGTTCTGAAGCTCAGTGAACTTCATATGTTTGCCCTTACCAGGTGTTAACTATTGTATTTAGATTCTTAAAGGCACTTCAATAGGCACTTCCAAAGCACCATAACATTATATAAGGAGTGTAGCTGTGTTCTTCCCCTATTGGCCTTAGATTGTGAAGAGCACAGTGCTACACCCTAGACTGCACCTAACTCCTGCTGAGCCATAAAAGTGGTTCTTCTGCCACAGCAGAATTCTACACTGTCTGGGTATCAAGAGGCCGATGCCATTTCTATAAAATGCTCATTTGTATAAACCCCTGTTACATACTGTATTGTCACACAAACACTTCATGTGTGGGGAGCGTTGGCTGTAGGATGTGTTGTTCACAGAGAGGAAAAAAAAACACAATGGCAAGTCAGCCATGAAACAAACCAAAAGGCCAGTTTTATTGAAGAGTATGCAGCTGGCCACACAAACACAAACTGTGTCTCTTCACCAGGTATCAAAAAATAAATAAATAAATAAATAAATAAATAAAGGAACAATCTTTATAATTTCCACTCACACCTTGCTCTTATTTCTATACTCCTAACTCACTACAACCAACTCTTGACTCCCAACAAACCCTAGTGCTCGCAACACCCTTTAAATAGGATTTGGGCTATACCATCAAGGATACAATAGGTGTAAAACATAAAATTCACAAGACTAACAACACATAGTACAGTAGTCCGGACTACTTGGACACACAAATACAGTACATGAAACCCTTAACAATACATGGGACAGACATTCATTAGATCTTCTATACCTGGTTGCCATTTTTAGCAATACAATTAGGCTCTGATAACCTCCCCTCTCAACATTCCAGCAATGATATGTTCTGCTAGCTAATTTTCAGGCATATTACCAGTCTCCTATCTGTTTGCCACTTTTTGACCTTTCTGAGGACCCCTTCAAACAAATAGGCACTGGCTTCTCCGCAGGCTGAGAAACAAACAGGGTAAATTGGTGAGAACTGACACACTCTGGTGTTTTAGAAAAAAATTAGCTCTGTTAACTGCTGCCATCCCTGTCCTAGCATGTTCCATGTGTCACAGTGACTGACTGCTCTGTCACACATACACAGATGCAGCCATCTAGAAAGTGTGAGGTGTCTATAGGCTTGCTATAGTAGGCACCACAGTGTACAGAGGCTCCTTGTCCTTTCCCCAAGGGTCAGAAGCATGACTGCAGTATTCTGTAACACTGCCAGGTGGCATAGTGAGGACCTAAACTTCCCAACCACCATGCCACTGCACACTGGTGTGCTTTCAGTTCAGTTCAAGTACTGTATGTGTGCAAAAAAAAATTAAAATAAAAATTTAAAATTAATTATTTAAGAAATGTAAAACTAATAAATACCTCTCAAAGAAGCTTCATGAATTTAACGGTTTTCAGTGTTTATATACACAATAGGAGAATGCTAAAACATACACTGTACACTGTATACATAAGGGAATGCTTTTATGTACAGTGCTTGTGTATGTATATAGTATTTACAATACAATATGTGATCTATTACAATGACTTGCTTTTCAAAGGCATTTGGCAGTGCAGAATCCAACAGAATAGGATGTAGCCTTCATAGGAAGAATTGTTTCTGTTTTGTGGAAACAATATTTTTTAGATATTATTCATTATTTGTTTTGTGTCAAGGTTTCTCTTTTACCAAAACCTTTGCTCTCTTAACTGGTATTGAGAGAAAAGTGATTGAGAGAAAGTCATACAGTGTATGTGAATACTTACAACAGCTTGTTGTACTGCTTGGTACTGTTTATATTTGTATCCAGCCATGAAAATGCAGCACATATAGGCACAGACAGCAGCAGAATCAGCCTTGAAAAGACGGACAAAAATTAAAACCTTCAAAGCTATAATAAGTCTTTCACTTAGATGCACTTATACTAAAGCTTACAAGTAATGCGATGTGCAATAGGTACTTTTGTAGGTTTAAAAAAATCTGAAAGGTCTCAATTGGAAAAGCTTTGACCTGTGTCCAGCATTTTTTCCCTATGCTCATACACCAACATAAAAACCTTGACTAAATGCAAGAAACTTAAAGAAGGTTGGGAAAGGTGAATGCAGGAAATAAGATGGAACAGAGAAAAATCAATGTATAAGAGAGTGAACAAGACTAATGACTTGGTATAAGCATACAGTATATGCTGCCTGCAAATTTCAGTGACTTATAATGTTTTCCATACTTTTGCTTATTTAAGAAAAAACTCAATTGAGAAATAATTAGAAACAAAATATACTTTACCTGGGAATATTCAATATTCTGTATAGCATCATTGTGTAAAACACTTTTTTTTCTCTGAACAGCAAAATACAGTATTCAAGTACTGTATAACTGGGGATTGTAGCTAAAAATGCTGCATTACCTGTGACAGCCCCTCTGATGTGAATGAAGCAGACACCTTCAAGAGATCCTCCATAGTTTTTAGTGCCAGGTTAACTGTCCACCTTTAAATGCAGAATTTGTTCCAAAAAGACTGATAGTATAAAAAATAAATAATAAATTGATAAAAAGAGCTTTCACAGAGGAAATTCCAGTCTCGTTTTCCTTACCTGTCATTCAGAAGAACTTCAGTCGTGAATGTGCCAGGTAGAAAAGAGTTCACTAGGGAACACATTATGTGGCCATCCATCAGATCCTTCAAACTATTTACTTTTAGTTTTTTTCCAGATGCAGCCATCTATAACAAAAGAACATGCCATGTGAGAAACCGACAGTCAACCACAAGTGAACATACTCAATTCATTATTATAATGTGACAGTCACATGGGAACTGTCCTGGTTCACTGAAGTAAGCATGAGCCAGAGCCCACAGTTTTAGCTTTTTTACTGCCCAATATTACAGCCTTTATTAGCTTCCAAACCAAAATAACCCTTTTGTATTCCCTTTTCTTTTCTCCTTTCTTGTTTCAGACTTTTTATACCAAAAATCAGTGTGAGAATTCTCATATTCCAAAACTATCCAACACAACCAGGTGAACGATTTACTGTACATGCAGGAAAGGAACTGTAAACAAAGTCCAATTAAGTCTCAAAGACTGCCTTCCAGGTGTAATTACAAGTTGCAAAGGCCACCTGCCACAAATAATTAAATTTAACGCACTGTAAAGCATTGTGGCATCCAAAAAATTATAAGAAACAATACAAGAAAAATGCTACAGGTACTCATGTTAATGAAAACTCAACTATACTGTAAGTCTTAACTTACAATAGCTAATTGGCTATGAACAGAATGTTATTTGCAGTTTAAAATAGTAAGCACATGAGTTTGTTGGTTGGATAATGAAATGCTCAAGTAATGTTATTTTATCAACATTATATGCTCAGTGTTTTTTATTTGCTATGAGTTTAACTGTCAAAATGAGCTGATTAAGATTTTTGTACAGTTATTCAAAACATAATTTAAGCAATGGAAAAACTCTAAAAAATATAATCAACAGACGCACAAAATCAGCAAGGGAATTTAAGTGGAGAGCAGATTATTTACATCCAATAACAGAATTTTGAAATCATACCAAAGGTATGATGCCAAGAGTTAGACTACCTACCCACGGGACTTTTTATCCAACTGCATTTTACTTTGAGCCAGGACTGAACTACCATGTTTCAATCTTTCATCTGCTGCTTGTACGCAGGCAGATAATTATCAGAATATCGATCAAGGAGACTTCATCCACAGCTCTATTAATGTTTTCTTTAATTTTATGTTAGTTTGCTGCTTGTATCATGTCAGTAATTAAAAGTTCTAATTTCCAACAGCTCTAAAACACGATTTAACAGGCATAAATAAAGAAACAGAATTTTTGCATTTTTTTCTGTCTCAATGAAACAGACAGACTTTATGTGACTTAAGAGGAGTCAATGATAGCTAATTGCATTTTAAGCAGAGGTATTGTAAAATGAACATTAAAAACATAAATCACTAAAAATAGTATTATCTAAGTGTTGGGCCTGTTGTGATAATTTATGGTAAGTATGGACCACTTGAAGTACATTTAAATCCAATCTGGTCAGCAAGAGCAAATCACTTTGTCCCACATGATTTGTACTAATTGTGGGTGGACTGGTCCCTATATTGGTCCCTTCTGGCTTCTCTTGGGCACTGTTCACATCACATTCTGAGGTTTTACATCTAAAGCCTTTGCCTTTCTTGCTCCACAACCCTAAAACATTCCTTTTTAATTCTTGTGATACTTATTTTTGGAAATACTGTAAAATATTTGGGTGTAAAATCATTTCTTTGTACCAAATTTCCCCGAAGCACAAAATCTAATAATTTCTATACCACTTCCGTAATGCTGCTTAGCATCCACGTTGTATATGAAGTTTTAATACTCAGCGAACCTGACTTGTAGACACTGTGCAAGGCTAAACTTTTCACATTTTGAAAGCATATTACAGTAATATAAAGACACTGTATTACCCATTTAGCAATGCATTTTAATACATGGATAAATAATAGTCCTGAAATGTTTGTGCTTGTAATTTAAATATTTTCCCTCCAAAAACCCATCATTTTTCTCCCCTTACACTAACTGTAATAGTCTGCTTTTCATTCTTCTATCACTAAGATTGTGTGGAGGTTAAGGCCAAGATCTTATATTGCAAACACTTCTCTGTAGAGAACGCCTGATTTATACAGTACAAAACATAAATTTACCCAGGCAGACTTTGCAAATGTAAATATCACAGAGCCAATATGTGAAACCCTTTAGCTCTAAAATCTCAAATTTATTCTCCAAATTAATCTGCAGACAATGTATGCAGTAAAGTACAAGCTGCTGCTAAAATCCAGTAAAAACTGTAGTAATGTTCTGCAACACATGCTTGAAAAAGGATACTGAGGTTTCAAAACTCTTAATTTGTAAGAGCAGATTGTGCTCCAGACTTTTGTGTCAATTTTGTGGTCGGGATGTCAGAACATTTACATATCCATTATCATGCATGTAATGTGATGCTTAAAAAAAGCAATCTATTGCAATCCTTTTTGCAACATTTTGCAACCATAAAAAAATGGCTACAAAAATGACTAAAGATGACAGAATAAAAATTCCACTATAGGAACAGTTAAAAATATCCCCGACTTGGCTGTCAGTGACCCCAGCTGCAAGATACTAGGCTTGATACTAGGCAAGATACTAAGCTACAGTAGCCCCAGGCTTCCCCAAATCAACAGCTCTGCAAAGACCTGCTCTTGATTAGTTGCCAGCTGTTGGCTTGGCAGCTGCATGCGATTGTCTTTTACCAATCTATGCTCAGAGCACTTGGGTCCCTGATCAGCAAAGTAGACATTCAAACTCATGAATTGCTCTGAGTGACAACTTATCTAGTCAAGCATCTAGCTAACATGTCATTTTGTAACCTTTTATATTCTACTAGAACAGCACAATTCAGAAAACTTATTCAGTAGATTGGAAGTGAAAACGTTTTATAAACTACAGTACATGACTGTCTTACCAACTAATCTACAATTCAACAATCTACTGTGTGGAGTTAATGTTACATCAATTCTAAATTGGTATTCTAGTTTAATAAGCTTGCATACATACGTAAGTGTATTAGCATGTGTATGTACTGTACGTATTTTAACAGTACTGTAGTATTTTGAAAACAATAATACAGCCTATACACTACTGTACAGTATACAAAATAGATTATATTTAATAATAAAACACAGGGAACACAGCAGATGCATAGCTCTCATTTATAGCCTTCTCTCTGCCTCTGAATGCATGATTCGAAGATTCATTCTTGCCATACTGTACATATGTGCCAAACTGGACACCGTCATCCTACCCCTTAACTTATTCAAAAAGGCTTCTCAAAGGTTCTGTCTCTTTTCTTTTCAGCTCCAAATCAAGCACTTTTCTTGATTTGTGTACTTGTTTCTTTCTCCTTCATACTTGTTTTCAGTTTATGAGCAATACTGAGGGCAACACCATACAATAAGAAAACACCAGCATGCAATGGGATCGCTAAGCATAGCTCAGGTGTGTTGCATGCCAGATTTGAATTTGTGAAACATCCCAAATTTGATTTTTAATTTATTTTTTGTCCCTAACCACATGTACACAAATTTCCTTAAAAATATTTCATGTACTGTATATCATTGATAAGCTCTTCATGAATCGCTTGGTCAGACCAAGTGAAGAGCTGATCAGTTCATTTTAAATTTGGAGTGTCCCTGTCAATTAGCCTCTGTGTCATTGCAAAAATAATATAATATTAAGCATTATTAACCTATTAAAGAGAAATGCCTGCATCACAGGGAAATGTAACACTTCATACAGGAAGAAATCCTAATGATGAAAACAAGAAAAACTAAGATCTGAATTCACAAATTGAATACAATGAATTATGATGATGTATGTCCACACAACCAAAGCCATTAAAGATAAAAAAATATATTCAACTCACAGATTAAATGAATTACTACATGTCCTTCAAGACAAAATGTAACATTAAATCAAACACATTAAGGATAACAAGGCATAATTTAAGGAGGACTGAAGAAGATGGCAAATGAACCACAAAGGATTGTGGAAGCATAGAACTAGAAACTTAGCCATACTTTGTTGATAATATATGGTCTTCTTTTAAGAAATAGCTGAATAAGATCCTCAGATCAATTAATTACTTAACACTTCCATCCAGCAAAGATGGGTGACGAATATTTGGAATTATATTGTTTTAACAGGTTTGATCAAAAGAGATAATCTTGGGATTGAAACTGTATTCTTAAATAAAAAAGTAGTGTAAGAGTTCAGTAGGCCTAGAATGGAGTGGTGAATATCCTGCCACCCTCAGTCACTTAATCATTTGGTAGAAGGCAATGAGGTTGGTGATGATTTAAAAAAAAACAGGAAGCTAAGGCACAACGTTTGCATGTGCTGTCTGTGAACAGAGGGAAGATCCACTGTGCTGCATGGCAGCACTGGCAGAAGAAACAGAGAAACTCAAGAGAAAGACTTGAGTTTAGAAGCTGGTTAGCAGTTTAGATGCTTGGCTACTTACAGCAAGGGACACTTCAGAAGTCGAGTTAGTAACTCAAGGAAGAGTGTAGCCTTTTTGTTTATGTGTACAGTATGTGGTTTGGATTACTTTGATTAAACTGGGTATATCACAGTGAGATATTGTAACTGATCCACCATGAAACACCAAATATTTGGATCAGTTTTTGAAAATGTGCAGCAGTTTTAAAATGCCGTTATGTTGAGGACTCAAAATTCAAGAAAACATTTGACTGCATATGCAATGCAGCTGTTCTAAATGCCTCAGGAAAAAACCATTGGGATATTTATGTTGATATAATTATATGAAATGACATAAGAATGCTGCATTTGAAATAAGGCTACTCAGTGGCAGAGAGAACACAGAATTGAGAGAGGTGTTTTCCTAACGGGAAATCCAGTAGTGTTTAAGCATCTATCTGCTGGTGACCAGTGCCTTCCTTTTCAAAAAGTCATTTTGAAGTTAACCAATGAGCAATTTAGACCAGTTTCTATTAATAAATAGATTTCCAGAACACTAGAAACTATTTGCCATTTTCTACTGGAGTTGCCAAGGAGGGTTTCCCACAAACTGTTAACAGTGACATTGGAAGAACTTTCAAAACACCTGGTTTGGAACATACTTGGCTATAGAATAATGGAAATTATTTAAAAGATTTATGATTTTCTG